TACCATCAGCGTGATAATCGATAGCCACGGAAGCAAAAATGCCTGATTGGGTTTTATAGCAATGTTTTTTTCTTTCTTTTGTTTATAATTAACTAGCTGAGTGTGCCCGGTCTTGCTCGGGATTCAATATTAGCTTGAGTTTATGCGCCGATTTAAAAAAAAGCATGCTATATTGTACGTAGCCCCCCCCCCCCTATTATCTAAGGGGCTACCCTCTATGATTATCTCCTTATACCCCCACACTCGCCCCCACATGCCTAATTTGGTTCCATTTGCTTGATTAGTTCTCGAGTTATGCAGAAATTTCTGTTTCATTTGTATGGGAGCCCCCCCTTACAGAAGGGGGAGGGGTCTCGAACCATCATAAGAACCTTCCACGGCCCCAAAAACCCCTGTATACAAATTTTCACGCCAATCGGTTCAGTAGTTTCCGAGTCTATAAGGGTCAGACAGACAGACAGACAGACAGAAATTCATTTTTATATAGGGGAATTTACGTATTCTCGTCAATCTAAGCAGTGTCCGCACTTCTATTAGCATTTTCTCAGCGTCACGCACATATATGACGTGTTTGTTGGTTTACATTCATCTGCTGCTTGCTTCTATATCCATTCCAATCGACAGAATTCTTCAAAACTGTTTGAAAGCGTTTTTACAACGCTCCAAACTTCTCAGGTGAGTGTGACTATTGTCGGCAGCCTCTTTTTCTTCGGCAACCTTCCCATTAGAACTGCGTGTTAACCAGCTGTTCTATTATCGGCAACTTAAAATCAACCTCATTTTAGAGTACGTATGTTTCATTTGAATAAAAATCTGGCATAACAGGACTGCTCAGACGTACAAATACAATCAGATTGAAGCTGAAAGACTAAAGAATCGTTTGGGTGCATTCAGGGACGTGAGTTTATGGGAAAACATAGTGAAATTAACGTTTAAATTTTGGTTGCCGAAAACAGTCAATGGGTGCCGAAGCCGATATTTACCCTATATAGATTGAACGCTCTAAGGCGAATAAAGAAGTATCATGAATTTTGCTGTAATAAGCGTTAAAATTAAGAAAAATCAGCCAACAGCTGGCCATGAAATGAGTGCCCCTACATGATAATCATATAGTTGATATGTGAAAAGTACGATGGAAAAAATCTACGTATGTTTTCACATAGCATTGAAGTGAAAATTATTTTGAGTGTACCATTCAATAAACACAATTTTCGGTTCGGTCAAAACGGTCTAAGCAAAGGATTAAAGGAAATGGGGTGAGTAATTCATCTATCACTCAAATATTGGCCAAAGGTTTATGTTAAAAAATGCAGTGCATAACATAATCTTTTATGTGATTTGTAATATTAACATATAACCACAGACAAACAGACATAACACTTACAATCACATTCATCGCAAATAATGTTTTAGTTGGGAATGTGCTTGCATTTTTCATGGTGAAGCATTGAGCAAGCCCCCACATTTCGAACTTTTCAGTGATGCCAGTTCTTTTTCACATCTAGTTAGTAGATGTCAACTCTTGAAAATGATAAGTGGTCAAGGCATCCTACTGGAGACACATACCACATCAAAACTGCTGCACATTAGTCATTCCGTTCCTAATTTTACGTTGTACGATCTACACAGAATTCGACAACAAATCATGTTGATTACTGTAATATTCTATCAACTTTTACCAGTTATTGATGTTCAATACTTCACCATGAATATCATTAACTGATACATATTATTTGTTTTCTGTGTACACATTAAAGTGATGAGCGGTGGTAGAAATGGCACTAATAAGTGATGCATAACCTCGTTTATACACTTGTTTTCAGCAAAAGAAAAAGTGCACTAAACAAACAAAACAAATCCCTAAAAAAGTCTTAGTTTCTTTGAATTTTTCCTAGGGATCCGTATTCTACGGAAAATTTCGTAGAACCGACATCACTGACTTCCATCTGTTTTGTTTTTATTCAACATAGCTGATGCGTTGACAGTGGGGGAGAGGTAGCTCATCGATTCTTCCGGTTCGCCTCCTAGCATACCTAGGTACCAGGCGATAACCAGGGTAGTTGATCGATAGCTCGATGACGTCATTTCGTTGACGTCTGCAATGGGAAATTCTCATAGCAGGCGTTGACGATGGGACGTTGTCGAGTTGTTGAATAGCAACTATCGTGGTAACTCACCGATTACCTGTCGATCTGCCAAATTTGGAAAGACGTCTGCATTGAATTGTCTCATATAATAATATTCCGCCCACTATAGAAGCATAGGCGTAGCCAGATAGGGGCAGGGGGGGGGGGCGACTGCCCCCCCCCTAAACTCGGCAACACAAAGGCTTTCGAGGAAATGGCGTTCGGTGAAATGGCATTCGGCCAAATTTTCCATGGTAATTTTTTTTTCGCCCCTCCCTAGCTCGAAACCTGGCTACGCCCTTGTATAGAAGAAATTGCGAGTAGCTGAGTGGAATGGAGATAAGTTAAGCATTGGGTACAGGACCAAGTCTCCCCTGGGTGGTGCCAAAAGATGAGCGCAATAGAATCATCAAGTTGCCATAAGGCACGGAATGAGACTATTGCATGGCTGGGTAGTCAAAGTCTTCTATTCGTTAGTCATTTCAGGTGGATTAGAACAGGTTTAGGTGGGCGTTGGCCAGATTTGGATTTTTCAGATGTAATCCTGGATAGGACCCTGTCATTGAACGTCGCGTGAAAGTGGAACTTAATGAAGGCCTAAGTACTTTTTCGTAGTTTTTAGTTTTCGGATTTGAAAGATCGTGGGTTACAGTGGCCTGCTTACTGAGCAGAAAATCGCGGTCCCAGGTTCTTACATATCAAAGAGATTTATTGTAAAATCGAAGGAAATCCTTGGATCGTCCTTATCGAGGGTGTAAGTTATCTTCTGACAGTCTACAGTTAGTTTGATGCACCCTATTTCGAACAAACCACCAGACGGAAATCTTAATGTGTATTGCCGCCTATGTCCTGTAATAAGAGCGTTCCGTTGGAAGTAAATTCTTTATCAATACAGTGGATATCGTGTAAGTGCATCGACTTACAGGTTCACAAGGGAACAGTAACGATTGCTGGGTTGCATAGGTTGCCATTAGGAGGAACCGTACGGTATGGCAATTCCTGCACTGGTGGTGGCTTCTAATCACATTACATCACATCACATCACCATTCAATAAACACAATTTTGCGGTAGCGAGCTTTGAACATAACTTATGAGTTTTCCGGTCCCACTTCCCCCAGTGTACCTTAATCTATTTAGGGTGAATTATGTTTCGAGTGTTCGTGTGGTCCAAATGTGGCATAATCTTTGTTATGTACCTATTTAAAGACTTAGTGTTCTTCGAAAAAATGGCTTTTTGTTGTGTATTAACCAGTGTTCATGCGAATGTTGATCCAATGTTCATAAAAGCTTCATTCATGCATTAGTAGCGGGAAAAGTTCATTTGGATCTGATTGGTCATGCACAAATACGGACAAACTGTTGAGAATAATCGTGCAATGGATGAGCGAGAGTCTAAATGCAATTATTATTTTGAGTGATTCCATTACACGATCTTCTCAATACGTCAATCTTGACTTAATGCCAGTTAGTTTAAAAGAGAAATGCAATCATTTACCTAATTGTTCAAAACAACACTTCTGAAAGGTTATGTGCAAAACAAGTCATGCACAATAGAATTGAGTAATATATTTGGTTCAATGCAATTCCAATGACTGTTCGTAAATTTCTTAGCCAATTATCGTCGGGAGGTGAGTTAGGTCCTTGAGTGCTAAATTCTGGTCAAACGATGCCATGAAACATGGTGCATTAGGGTGGTTCAAAGTATTTATTTTGCACCAGAAAGCGCAATCGATTCCATATTTGGTTCTAATCGTTCTCTCAATTTCGGTGCCAATATTTCAAAAGGGCGAAATTGCTTTTGTAAACAATTACATTAGCCGTCGATTTCTCGCGAATAAAAGCTCACACATGTAAAGTATCGACACCATCAGGTGTGATGAAGGAGACATACCAGTTGGAATGGTAAGCAGGAGTAAGCTTTTGATTTCGAGAAATCGAAGTCATTGTTTACAAAAGCAGTTTCACCCTAATGACATGTTGGCATTGATTTGGTTGCGATCTCATTCTGCACCCTTGGAAATAAATATTTGAAATTAATATTAATAATTAATTAATTAATACTTGACTAGCCTATTGGTCCCAAGCAAACGATTAACGTACCCCATTCTAGTCGAAATTCTAGTACTACACAATGTTTGTTTTGATTCGTTATGAAAGTTTGACAGATAAAATGAGGGGCTAGTGGATTTTCCTATGTTTCGAGGGGTGAATCGATTAGCTTGGGACCGAAGAGAGACCAGAGCTGAGCCAAAAAGTTGAGGACGTTGCTTCGGGACCTTCTAGTCTTAGAGTTACCTCTATGGTATAAGCATTACAGCGTAGCGGCTCAAATTTACTGACCTGTCCATATTGTTTTTAGTTAGAGGAGCGGAGCGACGGGCATGCGTCTAGAAACAGCTTCTTTTATAATCTTCTTTTAGAAGCTGATTCTAGAAACTTGCCGTCGCTCGGCTCCTCTAATTAAAGAGAAACACAGACAGAACAGTACATTTTTATGTTTACGGAGGAGTACGGAAACAATTTCTCAAAAACAATCAATAACTAATTTTCTTGCCGTTGAATCAAAAAGTGATCCTAAGCAAAGTTGTAGTTGGACAAATTTTTTATAAGTACAGACAACAAGCGTTATGGCGAAAGACTGAGATGAGCTGAGATGAACAAAATGCTAAACATTCCTATACTAATTCCCACATAGCCTTCATTCACCCTACCGATGCATCATCAGTAGATATGACCGCTCAAGGACACCGTTTACTCCCCCTGACGATAATGGGTAAAGGAATTGACGAAGCCGTCATTTCCCCTCTTTATATTGGTAGTCAATACACGACATCTGCTAAAATGACACACACAGGTACCAACAATGAACCTACCGGGTGACGCAATCGATTCCGATGGTTTCCTCCTTGAACGAGCCATCATCATTTTCGAAGCCCCAGGTGATCGTACCGTCCTCGTGTTCTTCGCGCCACTTGCGCAGGATCTGTGCCACAGGCTTGCGACGGCGCTCATCTTCCTGCTGCTGGCGGGTATGTGGTCGCTGCTCATCTTCAAAGTGTTGTGGCTGCTGGTGGCGAACAGGGGCCGGTCGAGAGATCACCTGCTGGGGCGCTGGACGGTACTGCTTTGGGGCTGGCACCGGGGCTGATGGCCGTTCCGAGGTTAGGGCGAAACGCTGCGCGTTGGAAGAAATATCCTTGTCGGTGGCGAAGAAACGCTCCGGAATCTGGGCACGTGCGATGGGGGCGGGTCGGTTCTCCTGTGAGTTGAAGCGGGAAAGGATGTTCTGTTGAATGTCACGTTCGTCATGATCATCAGGGATGGAGTGCTGTTGGGGGGCGGGGGAGGTGTGGAGAATTGGAATGAAGGGTTGGGAGAGTTCGTGTTCTTCGTGGTCTTCGGTAACGGGTTTCGCTTCCGGCTCGAGGAACTTGGGGGTGGAGTATTGGATCGAGTTGGGAATCGCGGGGCGGACTGGTCCTGGACCCGGCCGACGCACGCGAAGGACCTGGGGTTGCTGGGGAAGCACTCGCTCCTCGCGGATCGGTATGCCACGTACTACTGGCAGCGGGATGGCACCGGGGATGTTGATCCGGGGTGGTGCCGGACCATACTGGGCGGTTGATAGCGACACGAGGCCCACTAGGGGAATCTGAAATGGTAGAAAGAGATGGCGGAATTAGTTAATATTCAACTCATATCAATACACATTTATTGATCTATTGCAAGTTGACGGACAATAAACCCGATTTAAAATTCACGACCTAAAGCGTCAGTTATTTGAGTTACTTGTGTTCAACACGTCCTCCCCCACATCGAAAGTGTCACCAAAAGCCGGACGCGTGGCTTTCTTTTCGCAAAAGGCAATTTTACATAACCAACACGTAAATAGTTGAACCATTGAGTTCGTTTTATTACCATGCAGCGCTGCAGCGCTGCATCGCGGCCATCAGCAACAATTGATAAAAAAAACAAACTTTGTTGTGTCCATCATTTGACATGCCAGTCAAGTCAGGCGAAAACATGCAAAGTGACATACGACGTGTCTACTCGAAGACGACGACGACGACAACGAGAGGCGCTTTCTATTTATGGGTTTGTGCAAAGCAAATGATTCAGTTCAACGATTTGCATTTTTCCGGTTTGGTAAACTGTCCGCCGGAGAGGAGGTGTGGGAAATTGCAATCATTGGAAACCCTGCCGAACCGTATGGCGGTCGGTGCGAGGTAGCGATTTTAAAGGAGAAAAGTCAGCAAAATCGAAAGTTGAGCAGGTTTTTTTCCGTTTGCAGATTTGCCATTGGAAAATTGATCATTACGTAATGCGGCTTTGAGCGTTGCAATTGCTGTCTTCACCCTTTGGCAATTTTCCCGTGCTGGAAAATTATGCATAAACTTGACCATCAGTGGCCATTTAACGCTAATTATTTGGCATTTTTTTTTCTCTAGAGGTGTAGGACAAAATTAACGAGATTTGTTTACCAAACGATCATGATGCTCTAATGTTTTGTAGTGGCGTGTAAATTACCTAATTTGCCCCCGAAAATTAATTAAGACCCAATGTTGTTTTTCATTCATCGATGTGTTTTGTTGTTTTTCGCATCCATTGGAATCCATTCAACCGGTATGTAGGTTGGTATCGGATTTTAATGCTGTACGATGGTTGGAGGGAATTGACTCCGCTATGATTCGCTGTGTGGCATAATTTCGTTACATATCACTCGCATGTTATGCTGCCAATGTTGAGCATGAAAAGCTATTATGACTATAATGAGGCAGTCTCTGTTGGCGAGAAAGTTATTGGGATTTAAATTGTTGATTAGTTTTTTCTATTCTTGTTTAATTTTCGCTCCCCAGTGTTCAAATTGTTCCAAATTGGGTCCTGATAATTGTGTTAATAGACTCACAACGATGTATCCGCTGTTCCGATTTATTCGTTATGGGTCAGGTAAGACAGTAGTCTCCCAGAATTTGAACTCATTTGACAGACAATTGATTTAGCACAAACAATATTTATTTATTATTTTCTTCATCGGGAATATCAAATTGTTCGTAAGTTCCTGGTTATGAATTGCATAAAAATACTCCACGAAATTTGTTCGAAACATTCCTACGAACGGTTCTCCGAATTTCCCTGGAGTTTTACTCAGAACTATCTTGAAATTCACATTAGACTTCTTTGAAGTTCTCCGTTAAATTTGCTAAGAATTATAAAGCCCTTCCAATTTAGGCATGTTTCTTTTTGTCCGGTACAGCGCTCCTAGTGGTCGGTTTTGGAATCTTTTGATAGATTTTTTTTTCTTTATTTAGGACATTTTCAGCCGTAGGCTGGTTCATTTCCGAAATTGGTTTACAATGTCTATCTCTGTTATCTGTTTTTTGTCTGTTTATGTTTTCTTGAATAGATCAATGAAAATGCTGAGGTTTAGACATAGCTATGCTGTGGCTACCACAGCATTTTACACCCTACTGCTATCTCTCTGAGATGACCAAGTTGGTATTTTACATTTGATCGTCCATATAGAGCGCCAAAAGCATGCTGTGGTCGGTTCAAAACTTGACCATCTAAATTGATAAATTCTGCACACAAGAAATGAAAACCCGACATGGTCAGGTACGAGGATCTCAAAGGTGATGAAAACAGCCAAAACCACCGTCTGTGCAATTCTGAAACGTTTCAAGGAACGTCTGTCTGTTTCCCGGAAGGTGCAATCAAGGCGTTGAAGCGGTACAGTGGTCCGGAAACTGCGTCATAACGTCATGCAGGCTTTCAAAGTGAATCCAGGACTTTCGGACTTGGAGGTGGCCAACAAACACGGTGTAGTTCGCAGTACAGTTGGAAATATACGCATTATTCAAGTATTGGGCTATTAGGCAACCGAACCGGAGCGTTAAAACGCGGGCCCGAAAGCTGTTAGACCAAATTTAACGGATGCATCCTTATGGACAAATTGGACTTCAAACAGCTTCCGGGACAGAAGTTTGATGTTATGAATTTATTTATGCGAACAAGTTTGGCAGGAAAACTGTGGCCAGAAGACTTAGATTTTCATCATAACCAACAATATGGACGGACAGTTATACATCAACGAATGCCTGAAAAAAACATGTATTGCCGTTCATTAGGTCCCACCGGGGCCCCGTCAAGTTTTGGCCAGATTTGGCTAGTTGCGACTACAGTAAAAATGCGCAACGGTGGTATCGTGATAATGTAGTACACCGTGTACTGTACACGTCATTGAGAAAGGATTGAACTGCCCGGATTTCCACCCAATCGAAATGTATTGAGGTATCATAAAAGCTAAACTGAAGAAGTGTGGAAAAATAGCTAAGGATGCTATTTCAAAGGCCAAATACTGGAAAAATTCAGCCAGTTAGGTTGACCAGAAGTTCATGGCACGTATCAAGCCCAAAGTTTGAATGTTTATTCGAGAGGAATAAGAATCACAAAACCCATATTTTATCTCTAAACTACAATAAATACATAAAATTGTCTTCTAATAACGTTTTATTATAGACCAAACAGATTCTGAGATACTGAGAATGAAAACGTATCAATTCTAAATTGGCAGGGCTTTAAATCCCATAATTATGTTGGAATTATAGTAAGATTAACCTTTTTTTAATGGAATCCTCTTCACGACTTCTCCATAAAATTCACCTGGAATTCTCCTAACAATTCCTATTTCCTATTTATTCTTCTTAAACTCCCATGGAATATTGCTTTACACTCTAGTTGAATTTATCCTTAAAAATTTCCGACTGCGTCTAATTTTGCATTTCAAATGCTATGTTAAATTTGACAAAGTATACCCCAATAAACATTGAATGTTGAATAAGAGCTTATTCAGGCAAAAATAAGCCTCTTCAGCAAAAAAATAGCTTATTCAGCTGTTGATCAACTCAAATTGTTTGTTGGGACGTTGCATTCGACGGACCGCGGATGTAAGGTACATATATTCGCTATGAGTCAGGTAACACAGTACCCAACTAACAATTTTCACAATGTAAACGCTTTACTCATTTCATTTATACAGCCTTAAAGCTGCATTCAAACGTTATACGATACGAGGCAACCTTTACTCCACCTCTATACAATGACATCTGGCGAACTTAGTCAGCTACTTATGGTTGTTGGGACGGTTCTTATTGCTTATCAATTAACGCTTCTATACAGCTGTTATCTTGATGTTTAGTTGTGTGTGAACTTGGAAGGCGCTTCCCAACAAACAATCACCTATTGAAGAAACGACTTCTTGGCGATTTTATTCAACTGCATGCTTAATAATACTTGCATTATTCTTAATAATAACTTCTGTTCAGCCTTTTTCACACAAATCTGGAGAATTTGTTCAACCACAACACATTGAACTATTGGTGTTGTATAAGGTATGTCGAGAAGCTGTTATTCGACTTATATGAGTTGTAACAGCGCTTATTCGATAACATTTTGATTATTCAGCGTTTATTAGACATCACTGCTTCTTCTTAATTAAAACAGTGATGCTCTGTATGCGCTTGATTCTCATGTGAAGTAACGTTTAATTAGACATTAATTATACATTGATTAAACTGTTATTCAACTGTGGAAAATTAACCCAAAAATAAGCGAGACGGGAGGACAGGGATGGGTGATAGTTAATCTTTAGTAGTGATTGTTTTCATTATTTTTGACGTGGCACGCACCACACAGATATTAGAAAATGAACTCCATATATATTATACATGCATGGGATTCGAACCATGGACCTTCCCCGATCACCAGCCGCTTGCCTTGTCATCTGAGCTATCCTTGAATTTATCATAAGGGCAGCTCAATAATCAATAAAAGCTTGCTTGAAAGTGAATACCTATCAGCACTCCCGATCGCAACTCTAGCTCCTTCAAGGCCCTGTGGGAATGATTAATTTATTCATCGTTGTTTTACATGAGACCAATGCTACCTCTTCACCCCTCCAATTCCAAGGAAAGGATGCTCGGTTATTTTTTAAACTAGATCAATGCATTCATTGTCGTGAGTCATGTGATCGATGATTATTTAAATTAATTAGGCGTAGAACACAAATAAAAAAGGGTTGAACTTGGGATTGAACTCACGACCTTCTACTTGGAAAGCGGAAACGGTAACCACTACTCTACTGATTTCGTCTTGTTGTTAAACTGAACCAGTGTTGTGGAATAATGAATCTAATACGTCGTTTATAAAGCATTTACAAAGCATGCGATTAAAACATGGATGCATAGTGGTATAAGAGCTATTATGCTGACTGAATCCACCTTTATTCAGCAATATTGTAAAACAATGCAATGAAATCTAATAATGGAGCTAGGAAACATTTAAGTAAAGTATGTTATTAAATCAATTGAAAACAGCCGAATTAAAGCGTCAATGTATGTGCAAATTACACTTATTCAGTTTGTTATTGGATTAAACTTCTGGCGTTGAATTATGAAGACAGTCAATAAGAAAATTAATCAGATCAGAGCAAACTGTGGAAAAAATGCGCATCTATCGATCTCAATGAGCTTTTTTCAGCACATAATTCGACAACTCTTTTTATTCAGCATTTACACTGAAATACAGCATTTATTCAATATATATGCTTATTTGTGACTTCTGAATTGTTTGTTGGGTTATTCAACCTTTTCCCGG